TATTTATATGATTCGTTCAAATCTACCCAGATTTCTTCGTATCCAACCCTTAAAAATAGCCGAAGCTCTTACCATCCAGGATCTTAAACCAGAACTATGCGTACAAAAGAAGTACGTCTTATCGTTATCTTTACCTTGGCCTTAATTATTATTATTATTATTATTATTATTATTATTATTATTGCATTCCCCCTTTACTTATGTCTTATATTCTCATTATTTTATTCGTAAATGCTCATCATATCACCTTATTTATTTCTACACCCCTATTATCTTTATTTATTATAACAAAAATATTTTAATCATCTTATTATATTCACTAAATCTATTGTTATCATCCGTATTACGTAATCTACTATTATTTCATCTTGGTTAATTGTGTTCACATTTCCTCACGGAATTAGTACTTTTTTCATATATATACGATTGTACAGCTTGATAATAAATTCGTTGAAAAGAGATCCCTTCGCTGAACTTCGTGTTTTAAATGATGGTTTCTAGATGTGTTTTTTTCCAATTAATTCAGAATGAATTTTATTTTGCACTGATTAATCACTTCTGTTATAAGAATCTTGGTCACTAAAAATTAGAAAAAAAATCTAAATTAATAGCCATTGTTAATTGACCTAACATGATCATTTTCATCAAACGATTGAATTCTGTATTCAGATATTATTATTATTATTATTATTATTATTATTATTATTATTATTATTATGTTTTGGGATAGCCCCTACAGCAATATCGAATTACAATCGATTGTAAGATTCTTCTCCTATTTCACTAGATATATACAGATTAGTGAAATTGAATGATGACTATTATACTGCCATACTTCAACAATAAACACTTGTACAATGTATGAAAAGGGAAGTCAGGATCTCAAATGAGTCAAATTTTTCAGTAGGATAGCTTTATTTATATAATGACAAATATGATCATCTTTAAGCATATGGCCGGTAAGATTTGAGGATACTTGCAGTTTACTAGTATTCGATCACAGGTGTCTTCGAAGCATTGCTCGTATATCCTGGGACCACCGAGTAAGTAATGCAGTTGTTAGGAAACGGGTACTAGGTAAGGATGGCAAATCAATTGATGCATTAGTGAAACTTCATCAGTTGAGATGGCTGGGACATATGTTACGTATGCCCGACCACCGACTGCCCCGACGTGCGACGTTTTATGGTGTAGGAGTAGGTTGGAAGAAAGCTGGCAGTGGTCAGATCAAAACATGGCAAAAATCCATGAAGTCACTGACAGGTGGAGTGAGCCATGTTGGTAGGTGTAGACTACCTTGTTGGGGACCGCGAGGCAAGAGCAACTGATGGTTAGAGACCTTGAATGACGTGGCTGAAGGTTGTTTGCAATGGCGCAGGTGCATCCACTGTTTGTGTTCTGCCAAATTCTAATCTTCTGAATTCTTCATGTCCCTTTGTTTTTTTCTCTTTCCAAATTTATTTTACTGGATTATACTCCTTGAATAAGATGCTCGAAGCCTAATGTTTCCGATTACTGCTTATACTTTTACTACGTCTACCATTATGGGATTTGAGTCGACAATTGTATCTCTGTGTTAATGTTATATGGCAACTCGGACTGATGTATGTACGTACGAAGTTCTACGTTACTGACTGACTGAAACACATAAAATAAAAAGTAATAACCTGAAAAGTGAGTGTAACCAATCAGTTAATACCATGGGTCAGTGTGCTAGTATGAATTTAAATTACAGAATCAGGAATTTAGATTTGAGGTAATCAAAATTTAGAATGAAAGTCTTAACCTTTTGTGTGAAATTCAAATATCATGTATAACGAGCGGTAGAAACACATTTAAAATTTTAATGTAGAAATATTTTTTGGAACCTTTGAATAAAAATGATAGCGTTAAACGTATCAGATGTCTAATTATTTCTCTTTAGATTGTATATAACAGGGAAATCAACATTATTTCTAAACTATAAGCTTAAACCCTTCATTCTGAAGCATACCTAAACCTGGTGAGATTATATTTTATGTAGGAGCTAATCAAGTAGTGTACCTTGTAGGTTTGAACGAAATCCATTTTTTCCAAATGAGTACAGAACAGTTTTAAATTATAGCCGATGTCAGTTTATGATGAAAACCCTAAGAACACTGTGGGACTGAATTATTTTGATTAGTTCTGAGTTATGTCACCATAAACTTATTCAACCACTCATCTAAGTTGTAACGCTCGAATCTCGACCAAATGTGTAGTTTGTTACTTGGAACATGTGATTAGACATTATTTAAGCGTAGTACCTACTTCTAACACCAAATCGAGACTCATGTGATCATTACATTGTTTTACAATAATTTCGCTTCCAGAAGTTGAAACGAGGAACGCACTGTTCCTGAGATCACGAATTGATCTACGTTATACAACCATTGAATATCATGAAGGAATAGACGGTTAATCCGTCCCACTACAAAACCGCTCAGCAATGCACATCCACTACTTTACAGCAAATGGTCGAACTCAGGACCTCCGGTCTCGGACGTGAACCCTTAACCCTTAGACCATTGAGTCAGAACTCGAATTTTTACACGTTTAGGTTCAATCACTTCGCAAACAAAGTAGTTAACATTTCTGAGAATCGTGTTTTCTGTGTTCTCTATGTTTTCTTTCTAATAAAGATATATATTACCAGAAATAGAGAGAAAATTTCTACTTTTGTTATTTATTTCTTACAATCTCACAAACTCTTAAGGTCACCTCGTCTTCACTTGTAACTTCTACCTCATATATAAATGTATGTGTTTATGCGTGTGTGAAATATGTAGTAATATCTACGTGTAAATACCCATGTCCTAATAATATTGAGTTTATATGTTTATCTCTATAAATTTCTATGGGAATTATTAATTGGATATGTTTAGTTTAATTAATGCATTCATGTAGCATATGTAATAAGATATCATATTCTAGTGTGGGAGTAGAGTATGTGAGTTCTGCAATGACCAGAATTTTGTTATTGGTCACTATATTTTTTTAAGCCATTGTATTGTTCAATTAAATCTGGTACACTTGACCTGACTAGCCAGTAACTTTCTTATGTGGTATTCATCAAAGTTTGGACTCAGTTGACGATAATATATGGTAAGGTGGTTGTTGGGCACACTTGTTGAGAAGTTTCATACTAGGATGAAATTAACCATCGGACGTTCTTTAACGTTTAATTGTTTCTCCACTACTATTAATTCATGTCGATAATCAATTACAAATTGGAATAATCTATACAAAACCCAGTCCAACTGCTACTTGTTTAATGCCTCTGATTACCTCGCAATAAGATGGTATATAGGCTAGAAATAACGAAATATTGAATAAACCACTCTATCAAGTTCACATATACTCAGTAGGACTTAGGAATTATCCGGCAATTATCTTACTACTTAATTTCAAAAAGCAATATGTCTATTTCACATTTAAATTTAATTGCTAGCAGCTTTTTACTTCCTTTTGTCTAAATCATGTGTAACTCTTAGTTTAATACTTTCGAGGTACAATATATGCAAAGTTACACTTGAAATAACTTGATACTTAATCTGTTATAAGTAGTACTGGAGTCGGTAATAATTATTCTCATTTAACAACATAAATTAAGATATCTACACACGTACCTAATGATAATGGGCGATGCAACCAATGTATAAATTATTATTATAACTAACAACTATGTATGTTAAAAGATTATGACGTCAGATGGAGACAGACCACACTACAAGGTCATATTGAATCAGTGTATGTAGTGGGCGTTAAAATTATGCAATTTGGTTGGCCACTTATCCAATAACCATCGTTGACATGACTAATATATTTCTCGTGGGCTTATTCAAATGACCCAGCAGTAATTGAAACAACTTTTGTGTTTTTCGCCTACATTGATATTTCATATACTCAATAACTGTTTATTTTCATTCACCATGTTCTCATAATTATAGGTAATTATAACGAGACCAATTTATGGTTTATACCAATGACAGATTGTGGTGGTATAATAAGTGATAGTTAGGTGGATAGGTGGATGGATAATTAATGGTTGGAAAGAGGAATAGAAGAAGGTTCTTAATAATATTGAATTTGAATTGATTCTAATGTCCAATACAAATCTACTACATTTCTATTTTGATTATAGTTTCGTAAAAATTAGGCGCACAAAGGATTTGTAGTCGGCATTGAGTATATTTGTTAAAAAAAAATCTCATTGTTGGAGATTAGCTGGTTTCAATCTTTTACCTGATGCTGGTTCAGTCAGTGTACTTCATAACCTACTAGTTTTAAATTCAAACCACGTATAGGGAGATCAGGTGTTTCACAAATATGATGTATATCTAGTGTCTAGTTCTACTTTATTAATAATTTATTGAGTGCTCAATCTAGTTATTAATCAGTTTTGTGTTGTTATTCTTCAACTGCGAATAGCTTCTCAATATTGAAAGGTACACGATGAGTTCTATCGCCAAAATATGGCTCTGACATATTTTATCCATCTCTATCAAAATCAAGGTGTTATGACCTTGAACTATAATAATTGAACAAGTAATATCAATGATCTAATCCTAACGCTTATTGAGCTACATAGAAATTCTCTATCCTTAAGCTCAAGAGCTAAGCAACGTGCCTTCTAGTTTAAAAGTTCACTTGATTATACATGTGAATTCAGGGAACACAATTCATCTTAAATAAGAGATTTCAACCTATCCCTAATAATACAATATTTGAACAACAGGTTTATAATTGTGATGAAAGAATGAATTTTCTGGGATAGAAAAGTATAAGACAATTTCAAAGCTTAATATCTAATGTCTCTACCTACTGATTACGATAATCATGTGGATCCCCATTCAATTAGTCTGCATCTATCAAAACAGCTCATACCAACAGTTCATGACGTCACAAAATGATCCTATATATATATAATAAACTACTGTAATTTTATTGTGCTTTTATGTTTTGTTGTTATATTTTTACAGACTACTGGAGAAAATATTAATTGTGTTCAATCAGCACTTTGTTCCGATGGAATAACTTTGGATTCAAATGAAAACTTAAGACAAAAGCAACATCAACCACATAGTCGACATGAATCTCCAACTATACAAACACATACTGGCTATTTATCTTCTTCAATATCACCATCATCATCATCTACCTTGTGTTGTAAATCATCTCCTATCAAAGTCCAACAATCTCAAGTACCACTTTGTGTAACTGTTCAATCTCCTTATCGTAAAAAACAAGAATATTCTTCATTTACGTATGATGTATACAATGACACAACACACTGAAATAAAAGTGGTGAAACAAAAAAAAAGAAAGCTATTCTTCACTAATATTTCTTTTCACTCTGGTCACTCATACTATCACTACCGTCCTTTTCCCCGTTCTCATCCATCCTCCTTTAGTATGTAGTGGTACCCTATATGATTTTTGAATTTTTAATGTACAGTGAAAGCATTTCTGATTGAGTTTCTATTTCTTCGTTTATTGTTTTAATTCTGTGTTTTTAAACTATCCGTTGTTTTCTTTCTCTGGTTATTTGAGTGTGTATAGGTGTTCTGGATTCATTCGTCTTAACAATTTTACCTCATTATTTAATGGAACATTTTATAGCATTATTTGTACAAGCTACGTTTAATCTGATAACATAATGGTAAGGAAGAAAACAAGGCAGGAGCGAACGAGTGAAACCTTGTTAGCAACTTGGTTTATTTATCTGTTTTCATCATTCCTGTCAGTTTATTTATATAGATTATTGAAACAGTTATCATCATATGATATTATACACAACACAGAGAAATTTCGTCGATCTGTTTGATAAACAATCCTCTCAGTTTTTGCCGTAACTGTGTATGCTTTAACTCTTTCTATCCTGCCTATTTCAATAATATGATACTCGTCTATGTTGATGTCATCTTCATAGAACTGGTTTTATCATGGGATGCATATTTTTTTTTATCAGATTGAAATAAAAGTGAAACAATGAGAGAACAGACCTATCTATTATTTACTGTACATTTGTTTATTTAACAGCTTGAGTAATCCATTTACAGGTTGTACATTTGTTCTTTGTGTTGTATACCTTCACATAATTTCAAACTTTGTTTTATATGTACTCAAAATTAACCGGCATGTACTACTAAATACAGATGTATATGCATATATGTAATTTTAAACAACCAATGGGCTTTCAGATTTTTCTCAACACAATACACCTGGTATAAAACAAATGTGATTGGTCGAAAGCTAGTAATTCTGTTAATTTGTGATCAGTTATATATAATATTTGTTATTTTGTATTGGTTATTTATTCTTCTCTAATGTGCATTCCAGTATAGTTTGGGTATTGCACTCATTCTCTTTATCTATCCATCTATTGCTGCTTTATTGCATTTGTGTTCTACACACAAAGTAAAATGTTATATGTACATGTATTTTGCATATTCATTTTCAATCACTTTTTATTCTGTACAGTTCTTCTCAATTATCTAATAATATTATTGATTGATTTTGTTGCTACAGTAACAGTACACCAGACTTCACCGTACTATACTATACTATACTACACTAATCTTACCTAATTTAATGGCCATTACTTTTGTCTATGCTTCTTTGTTTGTGCGTGCTCGTATCTCTTCTTAATTTCAGTAGATTCTTTTCAGTTTTGTGTATCTGTTTGCTTGTGTTTATGTGCGCACGTGTGTTTTTTGTTTGTTTGTTTGTGGTACGACAGGACAAATGAATTAAGTTTCCTTAAAATCTACACTTTAGCACATAAATCTTTTTCTACCAAAACGATTAGAAAAAAAGTATGTGAACATTATAATATTTTATTTGATATTGTTCATTATTTTCTCTATTCAATCTGTGAATTTGTTGACTGTTCTTTGTTTGTTGGTGTCTGTCTACTTTTATCGTGTGCTTTTGTTCAATTGTTGTCTGTTGTTTTGTTTTCTCTACAGTAAATCGACAGTTGTTTCCTTCCTTAATAGTTATCTTGTTTTGTAACTGTTATTACAATATTTTTATTGTTTTTTATTGTTATTCTTGTAAATATGTTATAAATTATTTTGCATATAGAAAACAAAATAAATTATTTGCATACAAATGACATATATACATACATTGCTGAAACAAGTATTGCATTGGTTGATGACGTCATGTCCTATTCAAGTTGATCTTTGTTACTGAGTCACTTACTGTTTTTTTTTGTATATATGTTGGAATAAATTCCTGATTAGGAGTAGGGGGGGGTGGAAAGCCATTATTTTGTGAAGTTAAACTGAATACCATAAGAAGAGATGTAAAACTCTTGATTGTGTTTCATAGGTTTTATCATAATATATATATATAATTGAAGATGTTGGGTTGCAATTTCCCAAAACCTTCAGCTTTATTTTATTCTTTAATTCTGATCATTTTTTTATAAACAATATTGATGTGGGTAGACAAGCCGAATTCTGGTTGGCTAGCTAAAGGTTAATTTCTGTCATCAGATCATTTTCATCCTATCGGACAATTGAATCATCACACACTCACATTAATGAATTGTATAAAAATGAATAATGTTATTTTCGTACTACAAACCTCCTATGATTTCAAACTTCACTATAGCCACTTAATTAGATCACTAGTTCATTTTGTCCACTAATGATGAGTACTTTTACATCAACAATGCCGACAACTTTTGCTTTGTCGGTTGTACTAACACTGATTGTCTCATGTCACTTCTTTCTCCCTCTGGTATTCTCAGTCAGAACATGAGAAGAGTCAGTCAATTTATTCTGTTTATTTTATGACTTGATATTCACGTGGTCACAAGCGTCAACTTCACGATCACAACTCACTCCAAATAGGAAATCACAATCTGTACACATACTGAGTAACAAGTACATAATTATGAACGGTAGAAGACGTATCATCAGTCAACTACATATAATTAGGGCAATATAAAAATATAGTAAAACAATTATTTAGCAAATTAGGACTAAATGTAGTATAAGATAGTTCTAAAAATTCTTCCCTTTCCATTTACTTACATGTATTAACTTTTCTTTACCCTTCCACCTTCCTCGCCAGTTGGTAATCACGTTATATATATAGTATATTATGTTAACCAGACAACATATTATATATGTCATTCGTAGTCGTTCAGTTTAATCAAGTTCTGTTAAGCTGTAATAAGAACCACCATATAGTGATTGATAAAACCATTATTTTTATTGGCGTTACCGGTTGGCCTCTCAAATTAAGGAATAACTTTTTTTAGTTCGAACGATTCTATTGCGGACACGATAAAGCCTTTTGAGATGCAACACGTTTCAATAATCACCCGCTAACACGAGTAGATCACTTGAAATGGTAGGATTCAATATATATAGTAACGAAAGCTTGATTTTCAAGTGCACGGGAGAGTAGCAAATTAAAATTGATGGCAACCAACTAGTAAAGGGGAAAGATCATGAGAAAAACTAGAGTGAAAATGCATTCATGGCCATCATTCCTTGTAGGACTGTAGTATTATTAAACAAAACTGAGTAATTTGATTACACGATAATCAATATTGTATCATAGTTTTTTCATTGTAGTGCCTTTTTCGCTTTTACTGCTACTGTTATTGTTTTGCGTTTCTTGGTTAGTTTCGTCTTGATACTCTTCTATCGCTATGATTTAGTAAAAATTAACTAATTGAACTGAGTGACATTAGTTCCAGATGGGTAATATGTTGTTTATCAATGACAATAGTTGTTTAGATTGAATGACTCCATTGTAGATTAGAAATGGCAAAAAAGTATCAAATTGTGACGTGCTGACATTTTTAGGATTGAATTATGTCACGTTATATATATATATATATATTTCTGTCTGTTGGTATCTACATTAACTGACTGTTTAAACAAATGTCATGAATATTACCTTGGATCCCACTTTTATATTTTATGATAATGGTCTGAGAAAGGGAATCTAATCTGTGTGTATTTTTGTACCTGTTTATTGTTTACATTAAAGTGTCACAAAGCACGTTGAGGTTTGAATCCAATACTCTTAGCTTTTTTCTAAAGTTAGAATGAAACATAAATCCTGAAGTTTCTCATACTAGTGGTTACTCTGACTAATACCGATAGCGATTCTAATACAACTGGGACCAGTGAAGTGATTCTGCTAGGCACGTGAACTGACTAAATAATGAAAAACAAACTGTTTGAATGGCCTAGAATATATTTGACAAAATTACAGATTAACTTATTATGAAATCTGTAAGTTTTTTATAGGCAAAACAATTAGTTACTTTTATAAAATTCGTAAATAACACTCTCTACTAGATTCGTTGTGATCCATTGAATTACGTTACGAAATAGATATAGATCATTAGTTGACTCCTAATGGTACTTTATCTTATGTTTAATTCAGGAACAAAACTTGGGTGGAATTTATAAAATATCTTCTACCTGTTTAATAATAATAATAAACTTTAGAATAATTCATTCTGATTTCACTGAAGAATTGTAGTATTTTCTTCGTCCACCTGACTGCAGTGTGGAAGTAGTAACATGTTAAATGGTTGGAGATGGTTAATAGGAAACCTTGGATTTAGTTTGCTACTAGTTGGAACCCGTCAATTTGGTGCACCTACAGTTTTCAGTAGACTAATACTTCCTATAGGATTCGAACATTCGTCATCCAGCTTAATAGTCTGAGATGTTACTACTGAGCTAATCTGGGGGAGATTGATCTCCTTCAGGATTGAGATGGTTAATGATCACTGAGTAGCATCAAAACATATAGCATGCTATATATATATATATATATATATATATATATATATATATATATATATATATATATATATATATATATATATATATATATATATATATATATATCATTTGAAAACAGGTAGAAATAAGGTAAAAAAAAGTTGATTTAGGTTTTTAGACTTCTAATCCCTAATAGGGCATAGGCCGCCGATCAGTGATCTCCGATCAACTCTGTCATGGGCTCTACTTTACAGCTGATACTGAATGCTATTAATTCTTTTGATGTATGCCTCTAGGTTGCATTATTTATTCGTCACAAATGTATATATTTATTGTATAAGACAAATTTTTCCGTGTAATATTTGTACACTATGGAATTGTAATAATTGTAAATAAGTGAAATTCAGTAAAGTTTACTTTGATTGGCAAATTAACAGTGATCAATCTCATGTATATCTAGTACTTTAGTACTAATTGAACTTTATCAAGATTGTAGCATTTTCATGGTTAAATTACGAACTGATCTTAGCTAGACCTTCGTTGAAAACCTAAGACATTTTGAATAGCTGTTTCATCCTGATGTTGGCTTCTTATTAGTGAGTGTACATGACTCCAACATTAAGAATTGAACCAAAGATCCTTGAATTTCACGCTCAAACACTTAATTTCTCAGCGATTGGGTCGATAGATGTGACTGGAAGCGAAAAGTGTAAAGTTTTAAAATCTGTTACATTGAATATAATTGAATTCTTTCTTTGGATAACTTACTACTTCAATTTTGAAAAAACACTTATGCGATAATCGTCTTTCAACTGAAACTAATCACTGGCATTAATATTTTTTTCTTGATTATACACTTCTACTTTAATACGTCACATGGTATTCTGTATATATTGTCCGTACACTTTTGTATGTCTGTTTATCTATTTATTACCGTCTGTTTATGTAGCCTATAACTTGACTGATGTACGTCAACCATTTTTACTGTATTAACAATTTCACAGATATGTACAAACATAAAGATTCTAATTTTAAATAGGAAAGAAATCAATATGTGACGTAAGTTTATCTATCACTTCATTTTATTGATAGTTATAGTGATTGTTTCATTCTTGTATTCATGACATCATCGTTGTATTTCTTTTATGTATATCGCTAATGACAGTAAAATATCTTGGTTAGTAAATGATAACCAATTAGTTACTGTTCAGTGGATTAGTTGATCCATGAAACTTATATAATAAATCTATTACTTATAATACTATTTATGTTTGTTTCATAACCAGATCCCAGCGGAGGAAGAAATCAGGAAGAAGCGCTGGAAGTGGATAGGACACACATTGAGGAAAGCACCTAACTGCGTCACAAGACAAGCCCTCACATGGAATCCTTAAGGCCAAAGGAAAAGAGGAAAAACAAAGAACATATTACGACGGGAAATGGAGATAGATATGAGAAAAATGAACAAGAATTGGATGGAATTAGAAAGGAAGGCCCAGGACAGAGTGGGTTGGAGAATGCTAGTCGGTGGCCTATGCTCCATTAGGAGTAATAGGCGCAAGTAAGTAAGTAAGTAAGTAAGTAATGTTTGTTTCATCAATACCAGCATTACGTCCAATACC